CATCCAGCCAGTTCTCAGTCCACCTCACTGTCCACCTATCCAGCCCACACTTCCTGAGCTTGCCTATGAGGATGTGATGGGAGACAGGGTCAAAAGCCTTGCTGAAGTCCAGGCAGACAACATCCACTGCTCTCCCCTCATCTACCCAGCCAGTCATCCCATCAGAGAAGTCTATCAGGTTGGTTAAGCATGATTCACCTTTGCTGAATCCATGCTGACTACTCCTGATCACCTTCTTGTCCTCCACACGCTTAGAGATGACATCCAGGATGAGCTATTTCCACCACTTTTCCAGGGATGGAGGTGAGGCTGACTGGCCTGTAGCTCCCTGGGCCCTTTTTGAAGACTGGAGTGACGTTTGCTTTCTTCCAATCCTCAGGCACCTCTCCTGATTGCCACGACCTTTCAAAGATGATTGAGAGTGGCCTAGCAATCATGTCTGCCAGCTTCCTCAGCACTTGTGGGTGCATTCCATAAGGGCCCATGGACTTGTGAGTGTCAAGTTTGCCTAAGTGATCTCTAACTCAATCCTCCTCCACCAAGGGAAAGGCTTCCTTTCTCCAGACTTTCTCCATGGTCTCCAGGGTCCAGGATTCCTGAGGGCTGGCCTCAGCACTAAAGACCAAATCAAAGAAGGCATTCAGTATCTCTGCCTTCTCTGTATCCTTCGTCACCAGGGCGCCTGCCCCATTTAGGAGCGGGCCCACGTTTTCCCTCGTCTTCCTTTTGTTAATGACGTATTGGAAGAAGCCCTTCTTGTTGTCCTTGACATCCTCAGCCAGATTTAATTCCAAATGGGCCTTGGCCTTCCTCATTGCATGCCTACATAGTCTGACAATGTTCCTATATTCCTCCCAAGAGGCCTCTCCCTGCTTCCATCTCCTGTACACTTTCCACTTATGTTTGAGTTATGCCAGGAGTTCCCTGTTCATCCACGCAGGTCTCCTATCCGCTTTGCTCAACTTCTTGCTCATTATGATGCACTGCTCTTGAGCTTGGAGGAAATGATCCTTCAATATTAATGAGTTCTTTTAGACCCCTCTTCCTCCTAGAGTCCAATCCCATGGAATTCTTCCAAGAAGGTCCCTGAAGAGGCCAAAGTTAGCTCTCCTGAAGTCCAGGGCTAGGATCCTGGATACTGCCCTGCTTCCTCCTCACAGGATCCTGAACTCCACTATCTCATGGTCACTGCAGCCAAGGCTGCCCCTAGCCTTCACATCTTCAACCACTCCTTCCTTGTTTGTTAGTACAAGGTCCAGCAGCACACCTCACCTCATCAGCACTTCCATCACCTGTGTCAGAATGTTATCATTAATGCTCTCTAGAAACCTCCTCGACTGTTTGTGCCTTGCTGTGTTGTTCCTCCAGAAGATATCAGGGTGCTTGAAGTCCCCCATGAGAACCAGGGCCTGTAATCATAAGGCTACTGCCAGTTGTCTGTAGAAGGCCTCATCTGCTTCCTCTTCCTGATCAGGTGGCCTATAGCAAACACCCACAACAGTGTCACCCTTATTAGTCTGCCCTTTAATCCTTACCCATAAGCTCTCAACTCGTTCATCACCCACCCCGAAGTAGAGCTCAATACATTCCAGTTGCTCTTTCACATAAAGGGCAACTCTACCACCTCGCCTTCCTGGTTTGTCTTTCCTAAAAAGCATGTAGCCATCTGTGACAGCATTCTAGTCATCGGAGCTATCCCACCATGTCTCTGTAACTGCAATGAGATCATAGCCTTGCAACAACACACAGATCTCCAGTTCTTCCTGTTTATTTGCCATGCTGCACGCACTGGTGTACAGGCACTTCAGAGAGGTATTTGAGCAAGCTGATTTCCCAGGAGGGCTGTAAGAGGATACCCCACAGTCATATCTTACAGGCACTTCCTTGGCTGCATGCACTTGCTGGAGGTATCCCCACCTGAGCACTGTTTTGCTGTCTTGGTGGCCTCTATAACTCTTCTCTTCCCCTGTCTTTCCTGGTTTAAAGCCCTCCTTACCAGGCTGGCCAGCCTGTTGGCAAGCACGTGTGCCCTGCTTACTGAGGTGGATCCCATCTCTCCCAGTCAGTTGTCAAACTTCAAACAGGGTCCCGTGGCCGTAGAAACCAAAACCCTGTTGCCAACACCAGCGGTGCAGCCAGTTTTCTACTTAGAGAGTCCGTCTACTCCTCCTGCATCCTTCCCCCTAACTGGCAGAATCGAGGAGAAAATGACCTGGGCCCCCAGACCCTTGACCACTGTCCCCAGAGCTCTGAAAACCCATTTGATAGTTTCCAAATTGCCCTTGGTATCATTGGTGCCCATGCGGAAGAGCAGCAGGGGGTAAGAGATGGATGGGCAAGCCTCCGCAGTCTTTCCATATGACATCTGAGATTTGAGCCCCCGGCAGGCAACCAACCTCTCTAGACAAGCGGTCAGGTCAGCAGATGGGTGCCTCTATCCCCTGCAGTAGGGAGTCACCCACAACAATCACTCACCACTTCTTCCGGGTGTTCCTGCGTAGCACAGGGTCCGTCAGCAAAGTTGCTTCACTTGAAGCCATGCCCAGCTCCTCCTCCGCTTGGACTGCACTAAACCTGTTCGTCAGCTGCAAGTCTTCAGGAGGAGCAAGAGCCTTTCTCCTCATATGAGGAGTGACCAGTTTCCAGCCTTCATTTTCTACAGTTATGACTTACTGTTTCACATGGCACAGAGCCCATCTG